GGGAAGACCACAGTAGTTGCTGCTGCCTGTAGTCACCTTGGGCTTCACTTACTGAAGGTGAGGGTCTCTGGAGATTAGAACCCCAACTATTTCCCCTCCTCAGCTCACGTTCTCCCTCTCTGCTGCTTCCTCTCGCCTCCCTCCTCTGTCTACTCACAGGCCCTAGCACTTCAGCCCAGTGGGTCAGGCATATTCCCATGATGCTCAGCTACGGAGAGGTACTTTCAAGGAGAGGGTTTCAAGATATTGGTGGACAGTCCAGGGACTGGGGTAGGGTAAAAAAGAGATAGGACTTGGCCAGGATACCTGGCCAGGATGGGGACATCCCTGCCCTCCAGAGAAAAAGATGGCCCTCTGACTCCTCCTCCCCCTCATTCTCCTGCCCTTGTCATGCTTGCCTCTTGCTCGCAGACCCATTGGGACCCCCTCCCCAGGTGCCCTGCTCCAGCCTCTGCGCAGACAGTAGTGGGGCTGTGGAAATGAAACTGCAGGCTGTCTTCTCCCGGGCCCGCCGCTGCCGGCCTGTGGTCCTGTTACTCACAGCTTTGGACCTTCTGGGCCGGGACCGCGATGGGCTGGGTGAGGATGCCCGTGTGGTGGCTGTGCTGCGTCACCTCCTCCTCGATGAGGACCCCCACAACAGGTATTTATACAGAGCTGGGTCTATCAAAGCGGGGGAGGCCAGCCAGGTGCAGTGGCTCCCGCTTGTGATCCCAGCACACTGGGAGGCCAGGGTGGGTGGATCACTTGAGGTCAGGAGTTCTAGACCAGCCTGGCCAACATGGTGAAATGCCATCTCTACTAAAAATACAAAAATTAGCTGGGCATGGTGGTGGGTGCCTGAGTACTCGGGGGGCTGAGGCAGGAGAATCGCTTGAACCCTGGAGGCGGAGGTTGTAGTGAGCAAGATCACGCCACTACACTCCAGCCTGGGGGATAAGAGCGAGACTCTGTCTTAAAAAATAAAAAAGTGGCCGGGCGCGGTGGCTCAAGCCTGTAATCCCAGCACTTTGGGAGGCCGAGGCGGGTGGATCACAAGGTCAAGAGATCGAGACCATCCTGGTCAACACAGTGAAACCCCGTCTCTACTAAAACTACAAAAAATTAGCTGGGCATGGTGGCACGTGCCTGTAATCCCAGCTACTCAGGAGGTTGAGGCAGGAGAATTGCCTGAACCCAGGAGGCAGAGGTTGCGGTGAGCCGAGATCGCGCCATTGCACTCCAGCCTGGGTAACAAGAGCGAAACTCCATCTCAAAAAAAAAATAAATAAATAAAATAAAAAAAAGAATAAAAAAATAAAAAAGTGGGTGGAAGGCCTAGCCTTCCTACTTTTCAGCCTTTCAGTCCTCCCTTCTGTCACCCCTCAGTGGTTTCTCAGTCATCTCCTGCCCATTTGGCTGCCCTCTAAACAGCCCTGAGCTCAGCATCTTAGGGGGATCTAGAGGGAGGAGTCTGGTATAGCATTTCTTGGGGAACACTTGGTTAAAGATGAAGCACAGCCTGTGCCCTCAATGTGAGGGGGAAGCACAGTTCTCCCATCTAGGAACTGGAATAGATGCTTGTCTCCCTATCCCATCCCAGCACCCATTTCACCTCCCTGCCCTTCTGGGCCGACCTTGGGACAAGGCAGTGCACAGGAGCTGCCAGCCATTCAGCGCCCATCCCTCTGCCTGCAGCTGCCCTCCCCTCTTGGTCGTGGCCACCACAAGCCGGGCCCAGGACCTGCCTGCTGATGTGCAGACAGCATTTCCTTATGAGCTGGAGGTACCTGTGCTGTCAGAGGGGCAGCGGCTCAGCATTCTGAGGGCCCTCACTGCCCACCTTCCCCTGGGTCAGGAGGTGAACTTGGCACAGCTGGCACGGCGGTGCGCAGTAAGTATCAAGGCAGAGTACTGGCCCTCCCTAGGAGGTCCCTGGCTTTTGTCACAAGAACTCAGTCCTGTTGCCCTCTGAGAGTAGAAAACCCTAAGGCATCAACAGGGGCCTCTGCTCCGGCTAGGGGACAGTCCCCTGAAGGGTCCTGCCTACTGTGCCCTGCTCATATGTCCTCTCCTGTGGTCCCTAGGGCTTTGTGGTAGGGGATCTCTATGCCCTTCTGACCCACAGCAGCCGGGCAGCCTGCACTAGGATCAAGAATTCAGGGTAAGAGGAGTTGGGTACAGGAGAGGAAAGGAGGAAAGAGGAAATGGATGTAGATGGGTGGGTGGTGAGGAAGGGAGAAGGGAATGGATGCTGATGGGGAGGAGGCCTCATGCGAGATCCTCCAGAGGCCTCCTTGTGTTCCTCTTTGCAGTTTGGCAGGAGGCTTGACTGAGGAGGATGAGGGGGAGCTGTGTGCTGCCGGCTTTCCCCTCCTGGCTGAGGACTTTGGGCAGGCACTGGAGCAACTGCAGACAGCGCACTCCCAGGCCGTCGGAGCCCCCAAGGTAGAGACTAAATTCTTGGAGGTGGGACAGGAGCCCCTCCACCAGCATATCCCAACCTCGTACTTTCCATCTCCTAGATCCCCTCAGTGTCCTGGCATGATGTGGGTGGGCTGCAGGAAGTGAAGAAGGAGATCCTGGAGACCATTCAGCTACCCCTGGAGCACCCTGAGCTACTAAGCCTGGGCCTGAGACGCTCAGGCCTTCTGCTCCATGGGCCCCCTGGCACTGGCAAGACCCTCCTGGCCAAGGCAGTAGCCACTGAGTGCAGCCTTACCTTTCTCAGGTGGCCAGGGGGCCTGGAAGGGATGGCGGGTGGATCAGGGGCTGCAACACGCTGGGGAGCAGGAGCAGGAAGGGCTGCCCAAGAGGTCAGTTGTGTGTATGTGCATCTGACATCCTTCTCACATCCTCTCACTCAGCGTGAAGGGGCCAGAGCTCATTAACATGTATGTGGGCCAAAGTGAGGAGAATGTGCGGGAAGGTGAGTGAGCAGGGAGGGGCAGGGCTTCCCATCCTTCCCAAACCCCGATGGCCTCCAAGCCCCCCCCACCCCCAGGCTACTCATGGTCATTCCTAATCCTCCTTTCCACAAGTCAGGTTCCTGCCCACCTGGGTCTGGTACCTGGAGTGCCAGTGCTGTATTGTCAGACCCCAGCCTCCCTCCCTGCTCTCGCCTAACTTCAACTCCCCACCAGCTTCCTTCTCCTGTGGGCCCCTCTCTCTCCAGTGTTTGCCAGGGCCAGGGCTGCAGCTCCATGCATTATCTTCTTTGATGAACTGGACTCTTTGGCCCCAAGCCGGGGGCGAAGTGGAGATTCTGGAGGAGTGATGGACAGGTGGGGGTCTGAGTGGGAATGGAGGCTCGGGGGTCCAGATAGAAGTTCCTGCCATTTCAGTTCTGAGATAGCATAATGGAAGCTGAAAGGGGCCATGAAATTGGGCAGGGGCCACTGAGGAGAATGGAGGCCTACCTGGAGGGGCACACTGGGCACGGCTGAGCAGAAAGCCCTGTTGAGACTGCCTGTAAGGAAAGGTACCACAGGCAGGGACAGAGTCTGAGGGGACACCAAGGACTGTTGCTCCCTTCTCTCCAGGGTGGTATCTCAGCTTCTTGCTGAGCTGGATGGGCTGCATAGCACTCAGGATGTGTTTGTGATTGGAGCCACCAACAGACCAGATCTCCTGGACCCTGCCCTTCTGCGGCCTGGCAGGTGGGCCCCTTGTGCCGCTCACCTCATTCTGTGCCTCCTTCACCCCTCGTGGCTGGGCTCCCTGACACTTAACACCTGCTTATCTCCCTAAAGATTTGACAAGCTGGTGTTTGTGGGGGCAAACGAGGACCGAGCCTCCCAGCTACACGTTCTGAGCGCCATCACACGCAAGTATGCCCTGATAGAGGAAGACTGCAAAGGGCTTGGGCCTTGGGATGCTTAGGGGATGCATGCAACATGCAGGATGACCTGGTCAGCACCAGCTTTCGAGGGAAGTGATGGCAACTGTTTCTTCCTGTATCCCATAACAGATTCAAGCTAGAGCCATCTGTAAGCCTGGTGAACGTGCTGGATTGCTGCCCTCCCCAGCTGACGGGCGCAGACCTCTACTCTCTCTGCTCTGATGCCATGACAGCTGCCCTCAAACGCAGGGTTCATGACCTGGAGGAAGGTAAGCCACTTGCCAGCCTAAGAGGTCAACTAAAAAGCTAGTGGGGTGCTGGGTGCACCTGAGTCTCAGCTACTTGAGAGGCTGAAGTGGGAGGATTGCTTGAGCCCAGGAGTTTGAGACCAGCCTGGGCAACACAAAGAGACCCCATCTCTAAAAAAAATAATCTAAGGGAAAAAAAGCTAGTGGGAGACAAATCTACTTCTGGATTTCAGAGGGAGGATCACTGACATCTAATAGGCCCAGAGCAGGAAGGCACCTTCCCAGGGCTCTCCCCTGCCTGGGTATAGACTATAGCCTCTGTTCCCCAGACTGGATGGGGACTCTGGCCTTACCTCCCCACTTGTCACCTCTAGGGCTGGAGCCAGGGAACTCAGCACTGATGCTCACCATGGAGGACTTGCTGCAGGCTGCTGCCCGGCTGCAACCCTCCGTCAGTGAGCAGGAGCTGCTCTGCTACAAGCGCATCCAGCGCAAGTTTGCTGCCTGCTAGGAGCCCCCCGGGGTCTGGGACCCCACCCAGCATGGCTGCAGGTACCTCAATAGCCCACAGAGAGATCTAGGAGGGAAGGATTCCTCCTCAGGCTGCTGCCAACCCACCTGGAGGCCACCTCCCTCCAGGAGATTCCAGGGTGCAAAGGGGCATTGGGACAGCAGCAAGAGCTCAAGAGACATGTCCTGCCTACTTGCCTTTCCTTCCAGGAGGAGGGCCAGGGCCTTGGGTTCTGGGGATTAGGTCCTGAGAGGGCTCATTTTGTGGCTGAAAATAAAGTGTGTGCCGCCCCCTACTGGTGTGGCATGAAAGGTTGTCGTGGGAAAGAGCAGGGCTGAGAGAGGAGTACGCGCTGGGGGAGGGCAGGAGTGGGCATCATGGGAGCCTCATCCTCTGACATAAACACAAGGCATGCTGGAACTGAAAAAGGCACATACTATATTGTTGACCCCTCCGTCTGCGGAACCCACATCCCTGCACTCCATCTGTAGTCTGCTATAGAGGCTGGGGCTGGTGTGTGGCTGCTGGTCCCCATCTTCCAGAAAGAGCCTAGCAGTGCTTGGTTAGAGGCTTGTGGGAGCCGAGGCCACACTCAGTCTGTCCTCTTGAGCACGTGGATGAAGTAGCAGGGAACGTAGGCTTGGCCTGGCTTGTAAGGCTTGAAGTCACCCAAGACGCTGTGCTGGCACTTGCCCCCGAAGGCTGCTTGGACCAACTCCGTGAAGGATGCCAGACAATGCGGGTAGTAGGAGAGCCGGAACTTACTGTAACAGAGCCCCAGCAACCATGAGGACTGGTGGCCTCAGCTCCCCCGACTACCACCTCACCCGCACTGAGCCAAGTAGTACCTCAAGCCAGGAGAGCCATCCTGGCCAGCCCCCGGCACTTGCACTGTGTAGTCCAGGGTCACCATGTGGGCCTTGTTGTTCACTGTCAGCACTGACGTTGTGATGTCCTTGGTCAAGTCACTCTATAGGTGGTGGGGCAGGCTGCATTAGCCTCTGTAACCCACCTTGGGGCCACTGGACCCTCCCTTCCCCCCACCCCCGCCCCCAGAGGGCCTCACCTTATAGTAGATGTTCTTCCCTGGGGGTGCACAGCCTGTGCTGAGGATGTGGTCGTAGTTGCGATGATCAATGACCAGCAGGCCCCCTGCCCGCACCATGCTCGCAATGTTTTTCAGCGCCAGCCGGTGCTCACTCTGGTCCCCTGAGCTCCAGGCAGGGGCAGAAAGCATTTATCTGCTCAGGGCCCCCAGCGCCAGTCTCCCTCCCATCTCTTCCCCTCCCCAGGGGTGCCGGAGCCCAGGTGAGAGAGGCACAGTCTGCTTTGGCAGGAGAGCAGGTGCCCAGAGGTCTGTGAAAGGGGATACAGCTCAAGGCAAGGACTGTGCCCAAAGTCACACCCTCTCTCACCTTTGCAGTCTGGCAAGTGAGCGAAACTGTTTCCAAGACAGATGACAGCATCAAAGCCACCCCCTGCTGGCTGGGGCACATCTTTGTCCAGAGTCATCCAATTGGCTTCTTCGATGACTGGAGGCCAGGAAGGGAAAGAGGAATCAGGGAGGCACAGTGGTACTGGTAGCAGCCACCTCCACCAAGTGCAGTCCTGCCTGGGTTTCTTTTCAAGACACACAAACTCCCTGTTCACTTAAGGGGAGGAGAGAGGAGGGGTCAAGGGAGGAGGAACCCTGGTTGGGAAGGAGGGTTCTGTGCTTATGGGTTTTTCTTTGAAGGGAGAGACAAGATGCCATAAACACAGTTAAAACCAGCTCTTCACACCCTGTATCTTATTCTGGAGCTTAAGCTTTACTTTTCAGAGAAATGACAGTAATTTTGCTGTTTCCCTGAGGAAAACACAACACTCCACCCCCACCCCCACCTAAAGGAGCCCCAGGCAGAATGAACAGTGTTCCTGGTGGCTAGGCTGAGAGGGCCTGGCTAGACATGCATACCCCACTTGTCGAAGGCAGACTCATGCCGCCGGTTCCAGCGCTCCTTAAGCGCATACTTCAGCATCTTGTCACTGGCATCCACACTTGTCACGCTGAAGCCCTCTTCCACTAGCATAATGGAGTCCACCCTGGGCAGGGCCAGCAAGAAGCAGCAGAGAGAGGCAGTCAGGGGAGCCTGGCAGGGCCAGGAGGAGACCCTGGGCCAGACACTTTTGTCTCCACATTTCAGAGTGCATTCCTCTGCCTCCTCTCCCCAGGCCCTCTCCACTGACCTCACAATCTGTTTCCTATCACCATGGGGCAACATTTTTTTTAAAAAGCACCTCTTGAGAGCCAGGCACTCTACAAATGTGCAGTAATTCTCACGGCAATCTTGAGAGGTAAATGGTGTTATTCCCATTTGAGAAATGGACAAATTGAGGCTCCTTGAAGTTAAATACGTGTGCACAGGAGGCAGTTGAACACAGTGGGTTAGAGCACAGGGCAGACCTTAATTAACCTGGGCCTGTTATCTCATCTTCACTGGATGATATATGAGGGACTTTTGCTTTGCTGAGGCCTTATTTCCCCAGTAGTAAATGGGAGAATATCACTGTTTAACCTCATGGGGCTTTGTGAGGGTTTGAAAAACTGATGTATCAAAAGCTCCTGGTCCCAGGCAAGGCAGGTGCAAATGCTGAGCAATGTTAACTGCTAACACTGCCCAAGGCCATCACAGGAGGAATATCTGGAATGTCTATGGCTCTGGCTCCAAAGCCCCAGGGACCCTCACATTTCTGCCCACACCCTCACTCACAGTCTCCCTTCTCCTTGGCCTCTCCCTGCGCATCCCTGACCACCCCGGGCCTCCCCAGGCACTCGCTGTCCTTGTTCTGCCAGGCAGGCACCAGTTCCTGGCCCTGGCATCCCACCGCTCCAGGCCCGCAAAGGCCGCCCGGACGTGCCCGGCCCTGTGGCTCCGCGGCCCTGCGTACAGGCTGAGCTGGACCCCGATCTCACACAACGCCCCCGGCCCCCACCTTGGCTCACCCGGTGCCACAGGCCACGTCGAGCACCCGCTGGCAGCCGTGCTGGCGCAGCAGCCCGAGCAGCCATGCCTTGTACTCGGCGGTGCGGCTGCGGGTGTCTCCGATGTACATCTGCCACACGCGCGCCGCCTCCCCATCCGCGTACTGGTCCGGGAGCCCTTCGGCTGCCACCCCCAGGGAGCGGGTCCGATACACGCTGTCCACCATCCTGCGGCACGCCTGGCTCTGCAGCCACCCCCTTCAAACTTATAGCGGGGAAGTTCCCGAGGCCGACGGCCCCACCTGACCAATGGCAGGTGAGCTCTCGGACACGCCCCTGCCGGGCTTTGGGCAGGGCGCCTGAAGCTGTCCAGCTCCGAGGAGGGCGCTGCTTCGCAATCCCGGGCTGGGTCCTTTTCCCCAGCCTGCGGACCCAGTACTCTGCAATCCCACGGCGAGAGAGGACCCTCGGGGCCCTCTGGCTACTTAACCTGGGTCTCCAGGAGAAGACAAGAGAGGCCAGGAGAGGAGAAAGCAATGAGATTTCACTCCACCCTGACCCCAGTTAGAGAGGGAGTAAAATCTCAGATCTACAGAGCAGAGCGCCAGGCGGGCAGGACTGGACCATTACCAGGAAGGAAGGTTCCATGTTTAGGTGGGCAGCACCTAAACATGGAAGCAACTGCAGGTTTTTTTTTTTTGGGACAGAGTCTCGCTCTGTTGCCCAGGCTGGAGTTCTGAAACTTTGTCATACCAGAGTTCTGAAAATGCATTTTAAAAATCTAGAGAATGGGGGCTGGTAGCTGTGGCTCACGCCTATAATCCCACCACTTTGGGAAGCTGAAGCAGGCAGATCACCTGAGGTCAGAAGTTTGAGACCAGCCTGATCAACATGGAGAAACCCCGTCTCTACTAAAAATACAAAAAGTTAGGCTGGGCACGGTGGTTCATGCCTGTAATCCCAGCACTTGAGAGGCCGAGGCAGGTGGATCACCTGAGGTCAGGAGTTAGAGATAAGCCTGACCAACAAGGTGAAAGTCTGTCTCTACTAAAAACACAAAAATTAGCCAGGCTTGGTGGCAGGCGCCTGTAGTTCCAGCTACTTGGGAGGCTGAGACAAGAGAATTGCTTGAACTGCGAAGGTGAAGGTTACAGTGAGCGCAGATCACACCACTGCACTCCAGCCTGGGCAACGAAGCGCGACTCCATCTCAAAAAAAAGAAAAAAAAAAAAAATTAGCTGGGCGTGGTGGTACATGCCTGGAGAATGGGCCAGGAACAGTGGCTTACGCCTGTAATCCCAGTAGTTTGGGAGGTGGGCAGATCGCCTGAGGTCAGGAGTTTGAGACCAGCCTGACCAACATGGTGGAACCTACCTCTACTAAAAATACAAAAACTAGCCGGGTATGGTGGTGCACATCTGTAATCTCAGGTACTCTGAAGAATTGAGGCAGGAGAATAGCTTGGAACCCGGAAGGTGGAAGTTGCAGTGAGCCGAGATTGTGCCACTGCACTCCAGCCTGGACAACTGAGGGAGACTCTATCTAAAAAAAAAAAAAAAAAAAGTCTGGCGAATGAAGAGTGATATTAAATTGGAATAATAACCAAGATGATAGGCGAATAATTTCTTTGTCACTATCTACAAATAGGTTGGACATATATATATACAGTATTTGAAATGTTAAGTGGCTTATGGCAATTGATTATCTTCCTCAAAGGAATGCTGAAGGAGGTAGCAGGGTTTCTCTCTCTGTCTCTCTTTTTTTTTTTTTGAGATGGAGTCTTTCTCTTTTGCCCAGGCTGGAGTGCAGTGGCGCAATCTCGGTTCACTGCAACCTCCGCCTCCCAGGTTCAAGCAATTCTTCTGCCACAGCCTCTCGTGTAACTGGGACTACAAGTGCCTGTCACTACACCCGGCTAATTTTTTTTTTTTTTTTTTTTTTTTTTTGAAATAGGGTCTTGCTTTGTTGCCTAGGCTGGAACACAGTGGTGTGATCATAGCTCACTGCAGCCCAAACTTGCAGGCTCAAGCAATCTTCCCACCTCAGCCTCCCAAGTAGCTGCTATTATAGGCCTGTGCCACCATTCCTGGAAATTTTTTTTTTTTTTTTTTTTTTAAAGACGGGGATCTCACTGTTGCCCAGTCTTCTTGTCTTCTGGGCTCATGCGATCCTTTTGCCTCGGCCTCACAAAGGGCTGGGATTACAGTCACAAACCACTTCACCTGGACTCTTTCAAATCTTCTTTTCATATTATTCATAGATATTTCATTAGGTAGAATATTATATATACTTAGAGCTATTGTATCTTCTTTAATTATTGCCAAAGCGTACCAAATAATTTCAATCCTTCATCTCTAAATTGTCCATGTCCTGCCCACTGCAATATAACTGCCTTTTATTTTACTTAATTCATCTCTGTAAATTTTATTTTATTTTTGTAGAGACAGAGTCACCCTTTGTTGCCCAGGCTGGTCTCAAACTCCTGGGCTCGAGCAATCCACCTGCCTCGGTTTCCCAAAGTGCTGGGATTACAGGCATGACCACCTTGCCCAGCCATCTCTCCATAAACTTTAGACCACCCAAATCTGAGGTCCTGGGCCATGGAAAAGATCACAGAATATAAATTGATTACTGTTTGACTTCATTGAAAATAAGAATAGGTCCAGCCTGGCCAACATGGTGAAATCTTGTCTCTACTAAAAATACAAAAATTAGGTGGGCGTGGCGACTCAGGCCTGTAATCCCAGCACTTTGGGAGGCTGAAGCAGGTGGATCACAAAGTTATGAGTTCAAGACCAGTATTGCCAAGATGGTGAAACCCCATCTCTACTAAAAATACAAAAATTAGCCAGGAGCTGGGGCAGGTGCCTGTAATCCCAGCTACTCAGGAGGCTGAGGCAGGAGAATTGCTTGAACCCAGGAGGCAGAGGTTGCAATGAGCCGAGATCGCACCACTGTTCTCCAGCCCGGGCAACAGAACAAGACTCCATCTCAAAAAAAAAAAAAAAAAAAAAGAAAAGAAAAAGAACGAAAGTAAATAAAAAATGAGCCAGGCGTGGTGGTGCATGCTTGTAATTCCAGCTGCTCCAGAGGGTGAGGCGGGAGAGTTGCTTGAACCTGGGAGGTGGAGGTTGCAGTTAGCAGTGATCACGCCACTGCACTCCAGCCTGGGCGACAGAGCAAAACTCAGTCTCAAAAAAAAAAAAAAAGAAAAGAAAAAAGAAAATAAGAACAGGTGATTTTTTTTTTGAGACAGAGTCTCACTCTGTCACACAGGCTGGAGTGAAACGGCGTGACCTCGGCTCACTGCAACCTCTGCCTCCCGGGTTCAAGTGATTCTTCCTGCCTCAGCCCCCAAAGTAGCTGGAACTACAGGTTGCGCCACCATACCTGGCTAATTTTTGTATTTTTAGTAGAGACGGGGTTTTACCATGTTGGCCAGGCTGGTTTTGAACTCGACTTCGTGATCTGTCCACCTGGGATTACAGGCATGAGCCACCATGCCCAGATAGAACAGGTGATATTTTAAATGTGAGACACATTATTTGGAATTAGCTGAAAAGACTAAATTCTTCGTTCCCAAATGTGTGACCTGTTTGCAAAAAGTCTTCACCTTGGGAATGTGGCTGTAACTGGACAAACTCCAAGGCAATTCCTATTTGAGGACACATTAAAATCCTGCAATTATAAATTATGTAGATATAATAACTGCAAATGGGAAACATCCTGGTTGTTTTGGTGTTTTTTATTTTTATTTGCTTTTTAGAGATGAGTCTCACAATGTTGCCAAGGCTGGATTGGAACTCCTGGGCTCAAGTGATACTCTCAAGTCGCCTCCCAAGTAGCTAGGACTACAGGTGGGTACTGCACATGGCTTGTTTTTTATTCAGAACAGGTAGAAATCCATTTTTCCGATGATGAATGCCAAATCCCAAACTCTAGTCCAAGCCACTGCATAAAACTCTTCTCTGCCAATTGGATCTACCCCAGACTGAACACTGAAACACTTCAGGGGTGCTAGCAGATCCACCCACCCACTTGGATCTGCTAGCAGAGTTATCACAGTAGGTCCTTTTTTGGACTTTTAAGAAAATCCTGTTAGTTAAGTGTAAAATAGGTCTCTGTATCAGTGGACTCTAACACTAATAACGGTGGCTACATTACTATTTTTAAATTTTATTATTTTTTTTAAAAGACAGGGTTTCACCACGTTGGTCAGGCTGGTCTTCAACTCCCGACCTCAGGTGATCCACCCGCCTTGATCTCCAAAGTGCTTGGATTACAGGTGTGAGCCACCACGCCTGGCCTACATTACTATTAAGTGTAGTATATCAGTGAGTACTCCACTGATGTGTAAGAGAGGTTCTCCCAAAAAGCCCTGAATTCATTACACAATCTATGTATGTAATAAAATGATACTTGTGCCTTATAAATTTATACAAATAGAAAACTTAAAAAAAAAGAGAGAGGTTCTTTTTACCATTTCACACTTTATTTAAAGCAGAGTTTCGTTTGTTTTGTTTTTTGAGACAAGGTCTCAGTCTGTTCCCCAGGCAGGAGTGCAGTGGTGTGATCACAGATGCTCACTGTAGCCTTCACCTCCTGGGATCAAGTGATTCTCCTACCTGAGAGGCTGGGATCACACCTGGCTTTTTTTTTTTTTTTTTTTTGTAGAGACAAGGTCTCACTATGCTGCCTAGGCTAGTCTCAAACTCCTGGGCTCAAACAATCCTCCTGCCTTGGTCTCCCTAATTGCTAGGATTATAGGCATGAGCTTCTATACCTGGCTGTTAAAAGCGGTTTTGGCCAGGTGCGGTGGCTCACACCTGCAATCCCTGCACTTTGGGAGGTGGAGGTAGGTGGATCATGAGGTCAGGATTTCGAGACTTGCCTGGCCAATATGGTGAAACCCCGTCTCCACTAAAAAATACAAAAATTAGCAGGCCATGGTGGCATGTGCCTGTAGTCCCAGCTACTCAGAAGGCTGAGGCAGGAGAATCGCTGGAACCTGGGAGGCAGAGGTCGTAGTGAGCTGAGATCATGCCACTGCACTCCAGCCTGGGCAACAGACTGAGACTCTGTCACCAAAAAAAAAAAAAAAAGTGGTTTTAAGGAGTGCTAACCTCCAGTAAAGATCTCTTCAGTACACACAGATCTGTTCTCTTATTTATCTATTTAATTTATTTATTGAGACGAAGTCTCACTCTGTCACCAGACTAGAGTGCAGTGGCACAATTTCAGCTCACTGCAACCTCCGCCTCCTGGGTTCAAGCGATTCTCCCACCTCAGCCTCCTGAGTAGCTGGGACTACAGGTGAGTGCCACCATGGCCAGCTAATTCTTTTTTTTTTTTTTTGAGATGGAGTCTTGCTCAGTCACCCAGGCTGGAGTGCAGTGGCATGATCTCAGCTCACTGCAATCTCTGCCTCCCAGGTACAAGCAATTCTCCTGCCTCAGCCTCCCGAGTAGCTGGGACTACAGGCGTGTGCCACCATGCCCAGCTAATTTTTTTACTTTTAGTAGAGACTGTTTCACCATGTTGGCCAGGATGGTCTTGATCTCCTGACCTCATGATCTGCCCACCTTGGCCTCCCAAAGTGCTGGGATTACAGGAATGAACCACCATGCCTGGCCTCACTGAGCTTTTATTATTCAACATAAAAATGATACACTACTTCTGGCCCTGATGACAGGCTAAGCGTTGCTTATTGAAACGTGATGTAGCACATGCTATCACATCTAAAACACCAAGACTGGGTTGGTGAGTACAGGTAACCCTTGAACAACTTGGTGGTTGGGGTTTCTGACTCCTCACACAGTTGAAAATCCATGTGTAACTTTTTTTTTTTTTTTTTTTTTTTAAAAGACAGGGTTTCACCATGTTGGTCAGGCTGGTCTTGAACTCCCGACCTCAGGTGATCTGCCCGCCTTGGCCTCCAAAGTGCTTGGATTACAGGTGTGAGCCACCACGCCCGGCCAATTTTTCTATTTTTTATCAATCTCACAGGTGATCAGATGACCATGGCCTTTCAAAATGCTGAGATTACAGGCTTGAGCCACCATGCCCAGCTCCCATGTATACCTTTTGACTCACCAAAAAAATCAACTACTAACCTACTACTGACCAGAAGCCTTACCTATAACATAAAGTGGATAACACATATCTTATTTTTTTTTTTTTTGAGACCAAGACAGAGTCTCACTCTGTTTCCAAGGCTGTAGTGACAGAGCAAGACTCCATCTCAAAACAAAAACAAAAACAAAAACAAAAACAGAATGAAAAAACTAGCTGCGCATGGCGACATGTGCCTCTGCACCTGTAGTCCCAGCTAGTCGGGAGGCTGAGGTGGGAGGATCACTTGAATCTGGGAGGTTGAAGTTGCACTGAGTCATAATCCTGCCATGGCACTCTAGCCTAGCACTGGGCGACAGAGGGAGACCATGTCTCAAAAACAGAAACAAAAAAAAAGGGAAAGAAAAAACCTGGAAAGCCAGGTTTCCTTCATTCTGCCTTTCTAGGCAGAATAAGCTGCGGCTGGGGTATGCTGGGTGAAGAGTTAGTGTGTGGGCAACAAGCCTGGCCTTGGGAGGGAGGGAGGGAGGGAGGGGACTCAGAATGTAACCACAGGTCAAAGAGCAAAGCAGTGACAGTGCTGAACACCCTCAGGTCTGGGCTTGGGATTGGGCTAATAGGCCAACACCCCAGTAAGGGGTCAGGTCTTTTTTTTGTGAGAGGGAGTCTCTCTCTTTTGCCCAGGCTGGAGTGCAGTGGTGTGATCTTGGCTCACTGCAACCTCCGTCTCCCAGGTTCAAGCGATTCTCCTGCCTCAGCCTCCCAAATAAGAGGCTGGAACCACCCCAGACCCCAAAAATAAATTTTAAAAAACTTGCTGGGTGTGGCAGCTCATACCTGTAATCCTGGCACTTTGGGAGGATAAGGTGGGTGGATCACCTGAGATCAGGAGTTCCAGACCAGCCTGGCCATCATGGTGAAACCCCATCTCTACTAAAAATACAAAAATTAGCCAGGCCTAACACAATGAAACCCTGTCTCTACTAAAAATACAAAAAATAAAAAAATAAGACGGGTGTGGTAGCATGTGCCTGTAGCCCCAGCTACTCAGGAGGCTGAGGCAGGAGAATAGCTGGAACTCAGGAGGCAGAGGTTGCAGTGAGCCAAGATCGCACCACTGCACTCCAGCCTGGGCAGCAAAGCAAGACCCTGTCTCAAAAAAAAAATTAGCCAGGCATGGTTGTGTGTGCCTGTAATCCCAGCTACTTGGGTGGCTGAGGCAGGAGAATTGCTTGAACCCAGGAGGCAGAGGTTACAGTGAGCCAAGATTGTGCCACTGCACTCTAGCCTGGGTGATGGAATGAGACTCTGTCACAAAAAAGTAAAGTGTTTACTTTTTTTTCTTTTTTTTTTTCATTTGTTTAGACACAGTGTCTCGCTATGTTGTCTAGGCTAGTCTTGAACACCTGGGTTCAAGCGATCCTCCAGCCTTGGTCTCCTAAAGTGCCGGGATTACAGGTGTGAGCCACCACGCCTGGTATACAAAAAATAAATTTTAAAAATTAGCCAGACACGGTGGTGCGCCTATGGTCTCAATTATTCAGGAGGACTAACTGAGCCTGTAAGGTTGACACTGTAGTGAGTCATGATTACACCACTGCACTCCAGCCTGGGTGACAAAGGGAGATTCTCTTCCAAAAAATAAAGGGTAAACCAGGCGCGGTGGCTCCTGCCTGTAATGCCAGCACTTTGGGAGGCTGAGGCAGGCAGATCACAAGGTCAGGGGTTCGAGACTAGCCTGACCAACATGGTGAAACCCAGTCTCTACTTAAAAATACAAAAATTAGCGGGTGTGGTGGTGCACACCTGTAATCCCAGTTACTTGGGAGGCTGAGGCAGGAGAATTGCTTGAACCTGGGAGGCGGAGGTTGCAGTGAGCTGAGAGTGTGCCATTGCACTCCAGCCTGGGCGATAGAGTGACTCCATCTCAAAAAATAAATAAATAAATAAAGGGTAGGGGGGTGGGCTGGGCCCAGTGGTGGCTCACACCTGTAATCCCAGCACTTCGGAGGCCAAGGCAGGTGGATCACTTGAGGTCAGGAATTGGAGATCAGCCTGGCCAACATGGTGAAACCTCATCTCTACTGAAAATACAAAAATTAGCTAGGTATGGTGACAGGCAACTGGAATCCCGGTTACTTGGGAGGTTGAAGCAGAGAATCGCTTGAACCCGGGAGGCAGAGGCTGCAGTGAGTCGAGATTGTGCCACCGCACTCCAGCCTGCGCAACAGAGACTGTCTCAAAAAAGAAAACAAACCAAACCAAAAAACAACCATCGAAGCTCTGGGGACAGAGGTAAGCCAGGCCCTGAAGTGCTGTTAGTGATAGAATCAGGGAATCAGAGACTGGCCAGCAAATCCTAGATAGTTCGGGGGGCTGCAAACAGATCTGTGCCCTGGATGCCAGCCCCCCACCTTACCCCCAGCCATCTTCTATGCTCAGAACAAAGTCCAGGAGAAGACCTGCATCTAGAGTAGAATCTCACTGCTCACCAGCCCCTTTAACAGAGGGAACATCCATCCTGGAGACGCCGAGATGGGGGCTGGACCAAAACAGTATCATTTTCCCAGGATCTGGGATCATCCTCAATAGCCAAAGGAGAGACAGATCCCACTATGTTCCATTCTCTATGGCTTTGACTGCCCTAACCCGTGGGAGGGAGCCACTCACTCCCAGGGGAGTTCAGCCCCCAGAGCAGCTCACTGGATGCAGGGAGGCTTCAGCAGTGTATCCCTTCTACCTACTGGGATCGGCCGGGAAGTGTGAGGTGGAGCTGCATTGTGGGTGCTCACAGGGGATCTGATTTGAGCAGAGCTCCGGTGGGACTTCCTGCCATTCTTTCCTTCCAAGAAGACACATCTGCTTCCTATTTGCCTTTTAAGAATCCTGGTGGTGGTGACAGGTTAAGCCCAAGAAACCAAACCAGTTCAATTCGAACCACACTGTCAGTGCCAGGAGTTTGGGGAAGAGCCTGGCAGCTGTGGAGAATGGAAGTACCATGGACTTGGACCTGAACACCAGGGTGTGCTCCCAGCAATACCACTCCTCACCAGGACCTTGACTCCACGGTCACTTGACTCTAGCCTGTTTTCTCCTCTATGCAGTGAGGCTAACAGCGCACCTCACAAGTGTGTGGTAATGGTAAAAGGTAAAGCACTGTGAATACATACAACTGTCATCACTACTGTACCAACTGCCCTGATCCCTCCCTTCAGGACAATCTGAGAGGAGCCTGAGCTTCCCACCCCTTCTCCCTAGAGGCCGGCCTCCCTGCTCCTCCTCTGGCCCTGAGGAACATGGTGTGACCAGGTAGTGTTGGGAGCTGGGTGTCCTCCCATCTGCACTCCAGGCAGGACAGCTAGAAACAGCAGAGTGACCAGTGTGGTCATCAAAGAACAAGGTTCAAGACCCACAGGCAGGGCCAGGTGGAAGTAGGCGCAAAGGCAGGAACTGGCTGGGTAAACACACTTTACGCAACAAATGGGAGGCCTTGTGGGGGAGGGGAGTGGCGGGAGAGAGGGAGGGAAGGCAGGCAGCCAGGTGCCCAGGACACAAGTGAGCAGCGGAAGGTCAGTGCACTGCACTGGGCCTTACCCTCGGCCCATGCCTCCCCTCACCCCAAGACAACCCTGGGCCCTCCCCACACTTGCGTTCCTGACAGTGGGTGGGCTTAGCCTCCCCCTCCTCAGCAGAGAGGTGAGCAGAGAGGAGCTACAGAGGGCTGCAGTCTCAGTTCCCTGTGGGGCAGGGTTGAGGGGAGGTGAGCGTGCTCTCCTCTTGGACCCTGGAGGGGCTCCAGTCCTGGTGCCCGGCTCAGACACCTGCCCCTCCTGAGTTCATACTGGAGTCCTCGAAGTCCTGAAACCACAAGGCCTGCCTGAAGCCCATGTCAGGAGAAAAATGCCTGGGGAGGGGAAAGGCTGGTGTGGGCTGCCCATGGCAGCTCTGAGTTCTTCCAGGGGCTTGTGTCTTTCCGTGGTAGAAAAGGGCACAGCCAAGGCAAGGAGGGCCTGAAGCCTGTGGGGCCATCCTGGCCTGCCAAAGCCGTGCCCCCAACTCTTCAGCTTCAAAATCAGGGGTCTCAGGACAGAAGACGCTGGGTGGGCTCAGAGCTCATCAGGGGGGCTGTGTGTGAGAGGAGATGCCTTCTGGATGCCCTCATCCTCCTCGGGGCTAGGATCTCCCTCAAGGCCACCCAGCTCCTTCCTTTGTTTGCTGTTGCTACTCCTGCCACCTGCTGCCTTGGCCCTGCTGCTCTTCTTCTTGGACTTCTTCCCTCCCAGGGCGGCTGTGTCTCCCTTCTTGCCAGACCACTGCTCTGCCAGGCAACCTAGGATGTGGAGGAGAGAGACCCTCAAAGGAAGTGCCTCAGGACTGGGGTGCTGGGCGAGGAGCACTGAACAGGGAGCCATGGGAGTAGCAACTGGGACTACTCCCTGCCTCGCTGTGGCCACCAGGCCCCTCTGGGGGCATCTGGCTTGTCTGCTAGTCATTCTGCACCTGGTTTCAGTGACTCTCACTTCACCATGTCTTGCCAAGCAAGCCCTCCGAAGGCAGAGATCCTACAATGCCCTCTGGTGCTCTCTGTTTCTCCTCTTACCCACCTCCCCCAAGGGAGAGCAAACAATAAATCATCCAGCGCCAATCTGCCCTGCCTTCCCCAAACTCACTGGTGTCCTTTCCCTTCAGCACGTGGTTGGCGCAGAGGAATTCGGTCAGGTCCTCCTCCTGGTGGTTCCTGTACCAGTCCTCGATCACCTCCTCAAACTCTTCTACCAGCACGTCGCACTGTTAATCACAATATCTCATATTGGCAAACCCCCAGCCTCGCTCCTAGAGCAGCTCAGCTAAGCCTCACAACCCACAGCAAGGTAGGCTGTGGGGGCGGTTCACCTAGGGAAACTGAAGCCAGAGAGGTGAAACGGCCTGATCACAGCCACCTGGGCCTGGGTGGGCTTCCTCAGAACAGACCCAATCCCCACCGGCCCCTCACTGGGCACAACAACGCTTCCAAGGGCTGAAGGGCCTGTACCTGCTTCTTGAGGTCAGCCACCTCTGCAGAAGTCTCGTTCCACAGCTCATAGGGGATGTCCATCACCACCTTGACCCCTTTATGTACCAGGTTGTGTAATGTCTCAAAGGTCTCTGACATGCCCTGGAAGAAGCGACCAGACATGGGAGGCGGAGCTAGCTTCTCTCCCTCCTACCCTCCTCTCCCAGTAGTGTCTGAGGACCCAACTCTAAAAAGCCAATGCCCAACGCCCAGCGCCCTCTAAGGACCCTCATCCTTTTCATCCTTTTTTTTTTTTTTTTTTTTTTTGAGAGGGAGTCCTGTTCTGTTACCCAGGCTGGAGTGTCTCAGCTCACTGCAACCTCTGCCTCCCTGGTTCAAGCGATTCTGCTGCCTTAGCCTCCTGAGTACCTGGGACTACAAGCACACACCACCACACCTGGCTAATTTTTATATTTTTAGTAGAAGTGGGGTTTTGTCATGTTGGTCAGGATGGTCTTGAACTCCTGGCCTCAAGGGTACCACTTGCCTTGGCCTCCCAAAGTGCTGGGATTACAGGTGTGAGCCACCGTGCCCAGCCTCATCCTTGACCCAACCTTCCTCTCCCTTCTTTTGTTTTGTTTTTTTCGAGATGGAATCTCACTCTGTTGCCCAGGCTGGAGTGCAGTGGCAATGATTTCAGCTAATTGCAACCTCCACCTCCCAGGTTCAAGTGATCCTCCTGCCTCAGCCCCGCAGTAGCTGGGATTACAGGCATGCACCACCCTGCTAATTTTTGTATTTTTAGTAGAGATGGGGGTTCACCGTGTTGGCCAGACTGGTCTCGAACTACTGACCTCAGGTGATTCACCCGCCTTGGCCTCCCAAAGTGCTGGGATTACAGGTGTGAACCACCGCGCCCGGCCTCCTCTCCCCTCTTTTAGGCCTGCTTCCCACAACCCCCGCACATACACCACCTGACCTGCCTCTGCACACCTCATCCTTTCAAAAAGACCTGTGGCTCCCCTCAGGCCCTTTGGCTTTATGCTTCTTTTCCAGGAAATAGGTTTGTCTTAGCTCTTTCCCCTCACTATGAGGCTAAAGAGCCTCCCCATTCTTTGTTTCCAGCTGCATACTAGGCCACCAAACAGCTGGATCAACGTTTTTAATCCCCTAATGCTGGACACGCTCACTTCCAAATATGCAGACCTGCTGGTCCACATTCTTCCCAGCTTATGTCTTTCCTCAGTGGGAAAAGGGCACAGCCGAGGCAGGTAGGCCCTTTATTCTGTAAAAGCAATCTCTACTAGCTACCTAGGTCTTACCCCAGAGACAACACACTATCCACCTCCTATATTTTCCCAGAGATAACTCACACAAATACCAACATCCAAATGTATCCTCCCCCAACCCCTTTTTAAACAAGCAGTGGTGTAGCATACACACTCTTCTGTACTTGCCCTTTTTACTTATACCTTGAAGGGCTGGGTGCGGTGGCTCACGCCTGTAATCCCAACACTTCGAGAGGCCCAGGTGGGCAGATCACCTGAGGACAAGAGTTACAGACCAGCCTGGCCAACATGGCAAAACTCCGTCTCATGGCAAAACTAAAAATGCAAAAATTAGCCGGGGGTTGGGGGTGGTGGTGGGCACCTGAAATCCCAGTTACTCGGGAGGCTGAGGTGGGAGAATCACTTGAATGTGGGAAATGGAGGTTGCAGTAAGCTGAGATCTCACCACTGCACTCCAGCCTGGGCAACAGAGTGAGACTCTGTCTCCAAAACAAACAAACAAACAAAAACCTTGAAGATCAGTTTAATTCAGTTGCTAAAGAGCCTCCCTATTCTTTGTTTCCAGCTGCATACTAGTCCACCAAACAACTGGATCAACGTATTTAATCCCCTACTGCTGGAGTTAGTTTGTTTCTTTTTTTTTTTTTTTTTGAGACAGAGTTTCACTCATGTTGCCCAGGCTGGAGTGCAATGGCGTGATCTCAGCTCACCGCAACCTCCGCCTCCTGGGTTCAGGCAATTCTCCTGCCTCAGCCTCCTGAGTAGCTGGGATTACAGGCACACACCAGGAGTTAGTTTGTTTCTAATTTTTTTTTGCTATGAAAAATAATTCTTAAACATTTATTAAAGCAAACACAGATTTATTACTGAGTAAAGTGCAAATTCATACAAATGTCTGCTGCTTGAGACCATGCCCTTAGGTATCCCAGGGATTTATGACTGGTATACTTTGCTAGAAGGGAACTTAGGTAGAAAAATGTGGGTGGCAACTATCTTACCGTGTGCCAGGCACTGAAGATGCAGAGAAGAAGAACTATGGGCCTTGTAAGTAAGAGCTCATTCTCCAGGGAGAGAAGCACTCGCGCACATACTGAGTACATGAGATGTCACACGGGCACCCTGTGGGAGGTGCTGTGTGGACCCAGAGAAGGGACTAAGCAGTCACTCACCCCAGGTGTCCTCTGATGTCTCTCCTAAACCCCCACCTTTCTGCACATCCTGGATCTTACTGAGTTCTCCCTGTTCTAGTGTCTGTAGGTCCCCATGAGGGCAGCAACTGTGGAACATTTCCGCCTGTGTCTGAGATTAAAGCAGGACCCTCGTGGACAGGCGCAGATCCTCATGCATATGTCTACTGCCACTGAAAAGTCAGGCCACTCAGGAGGGAAGGAGTGCAAATGGCAATCAAAGAATGGGAAGAGGCAAGGAGGGAAGCTCCCAGGGGGTGATCTTCAAATCGCACTCACACCAGCAGACACACTAAGATACATGCAGGCCTGGCCCCAGAGCAGGTGAAGGACAATCACGAATCCAACCTTGGCAAATCGGTTGCTGCCGGTCCTCTCCTTGTGCAGGCTATAATCCAGGAGCCTCTTGCAAATGGTCTCAGTGACTTCAATTAACCGCAAGTCCCTGCCAAGACAGCGGCATGAGAGGAACTGAGTCCCCCTCCTAGCCCCAGTGGGTTAGCAGTCCGTCCCTCCAGCCCTGTGCCCCAACACCTGCACAGCTCACCAACAGGAAGTGAGTCAGAGCTGGAAGGAAGATAGGTCATCTGGTCTGGGGGATCTGAAATGCTGGAATACAGACCAGAGAGACAAAGTTTTAACAGCTCTAAGGGAAGGAATTTTTTATAAAGCTAAATGATTCAGTATTTAGATTTTTTGATAAAGCAAAATATATTAAATTTTGATGGTAAAATATCATTCACTTTGAAAGGATGATCACAGCTGACAGAGTTGAGTTTTTAAAAAATATATTTATAGGCCAGGTGTGGTGGCTCACGCCTGTAATCCAAGCACTTTGGAGGTCAAGGTGGGCAGATCATCTGAGATCGGGAGTTCAAGACCAGCCTGACCAACATGGTGAAACTCCATAACTACCAAAAATATATAAAAAATTAGCCGAGCTTGGTGGCGCGTGCCTGTAATCCCAGCTACTTGGCAGGCTGAGGCAGGAGAATTGCTTGAAACTGCCTGGGAGGCAGAGGTTGCAGTGAGCCGAGATTACACCATTGCACTCCAGCCTGGGCAACAACAGCAAAACTCTCTCAAAAATAAAATAAAATAAAATAAAAATTACACTGGTCTGTAAAATCCAAGCATCTGAGAATCAGTGATATAATCCAACAGTCTTGCTTTTAGAGATGAGAAATCTGCTGAAGCATAAAGTTAAGGGATTTATACAGGTCACACAATGAGTTGCGGACAGAACCAGTGGACAAACTCAGGTCTTGGCTACAACTGATGCCCTTGTAGTGAGTTTGCCTAGCTGGGAGAAAGAAAATCCTAGCCTCTGAAGCCTCCAGGAGCAACGCAGGCCAGGCCAGTGAGTCCCCATTCACTTACGACTTGGTGTATTTGACTCCAGAGGCCTTCCGGTCCAGGATGCCATAGCCTGTGCCAATCACCTCCTTGGTCTTGCCGGTTTCCTCAAAGGCTGACTTCAGCTCCACAGCAACATATTTACACACTGGGGGAGGGAGGTAGCACAGCCTACTCAGTGCACATGAGTCTAACAGGGGGCCAGCTCCCAGCAAAAGAGATCCAAGTGTGCCTCCTTTCCTAGACTGGAGGACCAAATAAATACTCAAGGTGGGGAAGGGAGTTAGGACCTGGGGAGGCTAAGGCAACTCTGTCTTGGATGCAAATGTGCAATGTTAACTTCTAATTAACTCCAGTTCCAGGAATGCCTCTAGGATTTCTATTTCATCTATTGTTCCTTGTGTAAGAGCATGCACTTACTGTAAATCCTACTCTTAGGCAACTGTCCTTCATATCCCTTCTTTTCTTTTTGAGACGGAGTTTTGCTCTTGTTGCCCAGGCTGGAGTGCAATGTTGCCATCTCGGCTTACTGCAACCTCCGCCTCCCGGGTTCAAGCGATTCTCCTGCCTCGGCCTCCTGAATAGCTGGGAGCATGCGCCACTACGCCCAGATAATTTTGTATTTTTAGTAAAGACGGCGCTTCTCCATGTTGGTCTCGAACTCCTGACCTCAGGTGATCCACCCACCTCAGCCTCCCAAAGTGCTGGGATTACAGGGGTGAGCCACCGTGTCTGGCCCGTATCCGTTTCGCTATGGTATATAAGTTCTGGATCTGGGAGGTAATGGGCAGGGCTCCACCATCTTGTCTCACTGCTGCCTGAGACACAGACACTGCTTCTCTTTGTAAAGTCCCTATTAAATATTTCTTTCTAAGAAACTGGATTTGTCAACCTCTTTCTTCAGCCTCTCAGCTTCCTTGGACTTTGGGGGTAAGTTTCCATAGACCTCTTCAATACAGAACAGTACCAGACCACCAAATGGAGTTCCCTATGTGAAAACAAGACTCAAAGATCCACTGCCTCATGTCTACTCCTGGCACTAATCCTACTGGCTTTATTCCTCATGCCGTGTCCTCCTGCCGTTACCTCAGTCCCATCATTTTATTTATTTACTTATTTCTTTATTTTTGAGACTGGGTCTCACTCTGTTACCCAGGCTGGAATGCAGTGGCACAATCTCAGCTCACTGCAATCTCTGCCTTTCAGGTTCAAGCGATTCTCCTGCCTCAGCCTCCCAAGTAGCCAGTATTACAGGTGCATACCACCACATTCAGCTAATTGTCTGTGTGTGTGTGTGTGTGTGTGTGTGTGTGTGTGTGTGTGTGTGTACATTTTTAAAAAATAGAGACAGGGTTTCATCTTGTGGGCAGGCTGGTCTTGAACTCCTGACCCCAAGGGATCCACCCACCTCGGCCTCCCCCCACCTCGGCCTCCCAAAGTGCTGGGATTACAGGCATGAGCCACCACGCCAGGGCCTGTCATTTTACTTTCTAAAATTGCATACATACAGAAAAGCTGAAAGAATACAATGAATACCTTCCACTTGTATTCAACAGTTAATAATTTCCCACATTCTTTCTCTAATATATAATAATATATCTCAACAATATATACATTATTTTTGCTACACTCTCTTGAAAGTAAGTGGCAAATACGACCTTTTGCCCCTGAATATGTCATCATGTATCTCCTGAGAACAAGCACATTCTCCTACATAACCACAGAACAATTTGATACTTGGGAAATTAATAATTCCAACGTCACCCAGTAGCCCATATGCAAATTTCCTTAATTGTCCCCAAAACTTCTTTTACGGTAGTTATATGACTTGATTTCATGTGTATTCCACCACCAGCTCTCTATTTCTACCAAGTTAATTTGCTCCATGCCCTCCAGAGAGATCTTATTCCTACTGTCTGTACATTTATTTCCTCATTTCCTCTTACCCTTCCTCAAATAGGTATTAGGCAACTCTGTGTGTCAGGCACTGCCTCGGGATACAGAGATGAAAACAAGGTCCCCTCCCTTCTAGATACTCAGTCTAATGGAGCAGATAAAGGTGTAGAGAAATAACTACCACTGTGTAAGGAGTGCTACAGAACTACCACCAAGGGTGTGAAGTGCCTGAGGCCCTAGGAAAATACTTAATGCCTTCTCAGGGCTTCTCTGCCCATTCTGCCCACCTCGAATTATGAGCCTCTCCCCCAGGAAGCCATTCTGCACTAATCCCACTTGCTCTAGATTTCACTCTGGGCCTCTGCAGGACCCATGCTCTCCCAGGGACTTTCAGTCATTTCATGTGTCTCCACAGAGACCACAATGGTCCCCAAAATGTGCATTATGTATTAGATTTTTTCTGTATTTCCTAAGCCTGGGACTTGATATATGTTGGATGCTTGATAACTCTTGCTGATAGAGCCCGTCTTCTGATGCCTCTGAATGGAGTACCAGTCTGCAGGCTAAATCCCATCGGTGGATTTAACACTGACAGCACAATCTGTTAGAACACCAATTTACCACAAAAATAAACACATCCCCTGGAGGCCTGCTTGGTGAATTTAATCAATGGCTTGGAGAATCTGGAAGTCATAAACATTCCAAATAATAAGCTGGTGATCTTCAAGTCTGCAATGAATTGGGGATGTCTCACCCCTCTGGCTCTCCATCCAGGACCCTCTGGGCTCCCTCCCCTCTTCTGTCCTGTACTCTGTGCGAGCACATCATTTTTCTGGCACCACGGCCCCTCCTCCCATACCCTCCCCAGGAGTGGGGAAAGGTGAGGTTTGGAACATCCTTGCTCTCTTATGCCCATCAACCACAGCCTTGCTTTCCAGCTTTTCCAAACATTACCTCTTCAACACCTCCTCTGGGGATCCCACCCACAACCAGACTCAGAGGAGACTCATGGCACGGACCCCAGACCCTCACCAACATCCACCCAGTCTTTTTTTCTGGGCAGGTCCTCCTTCCTCTGTGCCGAGGCCTGTTTCACTCAGGGTACTGAGCCAGGAGGCAGGCTTGGTGGGCTAGACACAGTAAGCATTTAGTAACAAAGGTGTAATAATAATAAAAACAAACAAATACAATATTAAGATGAGCCTAATGGATGGAGTTTGCCAAGCCATCCTGTGACTACAAATTCCTTTTCAATTAATCTTCATCAGTTACCAAATGAGGTTAGGCTAGAATGATCTCTAATTTCCGGGCCATTTCTACGCTTCCATCAGTCCGTGAATGTTGCCTAAGGAGAATAAATGTGAGCTTCTTAGGTTATGAGAATAATGAGAGACAGTATGGGCTCTTTGATATTGGAATAAGACAGAAAACAGGTTAGGCGTGGTGGCTCACGCCTGTAACCCCAGCACTTTGGGAGGCCGAGGCAGGAGGATCACTTGAGGTCAGCAGTTCAAGACCAGCCTGGACAACATGGTGAAATCCCACCTCTACAAAAATGCAAAAATTAGCAAGGCACGATGGCGGGTGCCTGTAATCCCAGCTACTTGGAAGGCTGAGGCAGAAGAATCACTTGAACCCAGGAGGCAGAGGTTGCAGTGAGTCGAGACTGCACCATTGCACTCCAGCCTGGGAGACAGAGTGAGACTCTGTCTCAAAAAAAAAAAGAAAAGAAAAGAAAAGAAAAGAAAACAAAGAGGAGAGGAAGTGAAACCCTGAAAAGCTATCAGTTAGCTGGGCCAGGCACAGTGGCTCATGCCTATAATCCCAGCAGTCTGGGAGGCCAAAGTGGGCAGATCACCTGAGGTCAAGAATTCGACACTAGCCTGGCCAAATGGTGAAACCCGGTTGTTGGGAAAAGCAGCAAAGGAGAAAGGACTTACAGAGTGCTTACATAAATTGGTTATGAGTAACACATAAACAAGGAACAACAAGCTGCAGAAGGCCGCAGGAGGCCTCTGAGGAGGAAGGTCTCTCCATGCCTCATGTTCCGGTGCAGGGTGACCTAGGCTCTTTTACCATAAATGTTGTGCTCAAGGACATAAAACCCCTTCATAAGCACTATGACATGGCCAGACTTGTAGGCTCCTTGTAAGGTCCATGTCCCACCAGCTGTACATGGATAATAAACTAAAGATAACCACATGTTCTCATTTTGTAAAACTCCCAAACAGCCACTGTTATCAATCCTTAGGACTTCTGGCTCACTGATTCACTCCACCCCTACCCTATAGATCAAAGTGATTGTAAACCAATAAATAGTGTGGATGATCAGAGCTTGGGCCTTCACTGTCTCCTCCAAAGTAATAAAGTGATGGCCCCCTGGTCCCACTTTGTCTCTTAATCTGTCTTTTTCTCATTCTCTGTCCCACCGAACTCAGGGTACCCACAGGTGATGTAGAGCTGTTTCCCTATACCCCGTGTCTACTAACAATATAAAAATTAGCCGGGTGTGATGGCACACGCCTGTAGTCCCAGCTACTCAGGAGGCTGAGGCAGGAGAATCCTTGAACCCAGGAGATGGAGGCTGCTGTGAGCCGAGGTCACACCACTGCACTCCAGACTGGGTGGCAGAGCAAGACACCATCTCAAAACAAAACAAAACAAAAGCCTGGGCGAGGTGGCTCATGCCTGTAATCCTAGCACCCTAAGAGGCTGAGGCAGGCGGATCACCTGAGGTCGGGAGTTTGAGACCAGCCTAACATGAAGAAACCTAGTTTCTACGAAAAATACAAAAGTTAGCCAGGCATGGTGGTTCATGCCTGTAGTCCCAGCTACTCAGGAGGCTGAGGCAGGAGAATTGCTTGAACCCAGGAGGCGGAGATTACAGTGAACTGAGATCGTGCCACTGCACTCCAGCCTGGGCAACAAGAGCAAAATCTCAAAAGCAAAAAAAAAAGAAAAGGGCTATCAGGACTAGAGGAAGAGTGAAAGGGCGGCCAGGAGCAGAAGTTCAGCACTTTGGGAGGCCAAGGTGGGTGGACTGCTTGAGGTCAGGAGTTCAAGACCAGCCTGGCCAATATAGTGGAGCCCTATCTCTAACAAAAATACAAAAATTAGCTGGGCATGGTGGCAGGCGACTGTAATCCCAGCTACTTGGGAGGCTGAGGCAGGAGAATCGTTTGAACTTGGGAGGCAGAAGTTGCAGTGAGCCGAGATCATGCCACTGCATTCCAGCCTGGGCGACACAGGGAGACTCCACTCAAAAAAAAAAGGCCAGGCGTGGTGGCTCATGCTTGTAATCCCAGCACCTCAGGAGGCCAAGGCGGGTGGATCGCCTGAGATCGAGAGTTCAAGACCAGCCTGACCAACATGGAGAAACCCCATCTCTACCAAAAATACAAAATTAGTCAGGCGTGGTGGCGCATGTCTGTAATACCAGCTACTGAGGAGGCTGAGGCGGGAGAATCACTTGAGCCTGGGAGGTGGAGGTTGCGGTGAGCCAAGATCCCGCCACTGCACTCCAGCCTGGGCAACCAGAGTGAAACTCCGTCTCAAAAAAAAAGTAAGGGGAAGGCACAGGCTTGAACTCATACTGGTGGCTCTACCAGTGAAGTCGGCTTATATCTGAAGCATCTCCTTTTAATCTCTCTAATGGACGGATTATGTGTCTCAAACTTACCCCAACCCCACTTCCCAGTGTTTAGAGAACATCTGGCCTGATGTAGGCTTTCAATTCAGATGAGAGATTCACAGCCAACTTTCTGGGGGTCCTGGGGTTACAGGGCTGGGAAGGCACGCATGACTGTAAGGTCTGAGGAGAAAACTGAGAAACGGAGGGGAGGAAAAAGAAATAGGTCCTTTACAGTCCTGGCTCCCTGGCAGCTCCCTCTATGTAGTTCCTCAATGCCTATCTCTCCATGGTCCTACAATCTTCATTCGCCAAGTTCCCCACAGGCTCTATTATTCCCCCAAAGGGCCCCTTAGGCCCAAATCCTCCTCCTCACACACATTCACAGCCCCCCACTTAATCATGTGTATTCCCAAAACATATGAGTGCCTACCGGATACTTTGTGAATACGTATCTAAGACAAAGTCCCTGCCTTCGAGGAGCTGTGAGTGAGTGCAACAGACAACTACACAGATTGGGTTGCAGTGAGGGCACAAAGGGGAAAGTCTTAGGTTCTTTTCCCCCAAGAGAGTCATCTGGGCCTTTTCAGTTCCTCAAACTCGTCCTTAGCGTCTCAGCCGACAGGCCTCTGCCTCTGTAGTTTCCTTTGAATGGGCCCTCTCTTTCCACTTCTCTTCACTCAGCTAACTCCTAATTCCTCTTCGTGCTTCCTGTATGAAGCCCTCTCCGACTCCCCTCTGCACACAGCCTTCGCCCACCCCCTCCCCCACTGCAGGCTAGACCAGATGCTCCTCGCCCGGCCCCTAAAAGGAAGTCCTGTACCTTCCCTATCATGGCATCTACTACTCTGAATTATCATCGCTTGTTTCTACCAATGTGTGAACTCCAAGGATCGGAGTACTAGGACCGGATCTCTCGCCCGCTGCAGCGTCCTGGCGTCCCGGCGCCCAGCGGACAGCAGGTTCAAGGAACGAAGGGACTCGGTTGGGCTCAGAACCTAGCAGCCCCCGACGCTGCTCCGCAAGCTCCGCCCACGGAGCCCGCCCCTCCGGCAGGATACGCCCCGCGGGCCCCGCCCCCTTACCTTCGCATTTGCTGGGCAGGCGAACCCAGTCGTTCTCCTCAGCTCCTGCCTGGCTTGGGCCCAGCTCCGGGGCCAGCAGCAGCAGCAAGGAGAGAAGCAAAAGACAACGGGACGCGGGCTCAGGCAACGACTCCATGGCCCAACGAGCGGACCGGGCGGCACCTCCTCCCGCGGCGCGCGCGGAGCTGCTTCCTCGCGCCGCTTCCGGGACTGCACACGTGCCTCCGCGTAACCACGACAACAGTTAGCCTCCCGCCCGCCCTCCTCTCGCAGCCGCCGCCAGCCTCAAAGCGGACCAAGGCCCGCGGACGGCGCAGCCAATAGGCTTGTGGGGTTTGCCCTCTAGCGAATGGGAGGACTACCTTTTTTCGGCCTTGGCCAGTAAGAGAGCAGATGGTGGCCTCAGTGACCTATGGCAAAACGTCCTTTCCCACCCCCTAACGGAGGCTGTGGGAGAGGATGCAGGACCAGGACCCGGGGAGAAGAAGTCCGCGTCTGGGCCTGAGTGAGATGCGTTCGCGCGCTCAGGTGCTGGAAGATGTGGGGAAGGCCGCCTTCGCGGCTTTCTCCGCCTCCTCGAACGTCACTTCCCTCCCGGGGTTCTAAGGCCGCAGGTCCTTACCGAACACCTGTTTTTAAATGTTATTGTTATTGTTGGGGTTGCTATAGCCAGGCACTGTTGTAGGCGCTTAGGGTGCGAGCAGGGCGACTCAAACTGTCCCCAGCCTTCAAACTTTCTTAGTACCCAATAGATTTGTCCTAGTGAGAACTAGAACAAATGACTTCCTCTCTGAGCCTGTTTCTATTTGTATGACAAAGTGATCCTCCTATCTGCTGCGCGAGCTTGGCCTTTTGTTGGGAAGCTCAAATAGGTTACTGGAATTAAAGCTTATCGAGCAGATTGTAAAAAGTTCAGGCATTAATGTTCTTTTTGTATGTAATCCCAGCCCCTTTTACTGCCCTATTATTTATTTCTTGATTCTGAGCTCCCAGAAGGCAGGAATTTGGCCGATGAAGGAGTGCATCTCCCTTCCACCTCCCCGGCAACAGCAAAGTGCCTGGCACAAGGAGGTACTCAGTAAAACTCGCATCTGCTGTGTCATTAAGAGGAACACTTAATGGCTCACGCCTGTAATCCCAGAACTTTGGGAGGTCGAGGCGGGAGGATCACCTGAGCCTAGGACTTGGCGATCAGGTTGGGCAAAAGAGTGAGCCCCTGTCTCAAAAAAGAAGGAGAAAGAAAGAAAAAAGGCCAGGTGCAGTGGCTCATGTTTGTAATCCCAGCACTTTGAGAGGTCAAGATGGGAATATTGCTTGACAGGAGTTTGAAACCAGCCTGATCAACATAACGAGACCCCCATCTCAAAATAAATAAAGCAGTCAAAACAAAAAAAGAGCAGGGCGGGCGCGGTGGCTCACGTCTGTAATCCCAGCACTTTGGGAGGCTGAGGCGGGTGGATCACGAGGTCAGGAGTTCCAGACCAGCCTGGCCAATATGGTGAAACCTCATCTCTACTAAAAAATACAAAAATTAGCCGGATATGGTGGCTGAAACCCGGGAGGCAGAGGTTGCAGTGAGCCAGGATCGTGCCACTTCACTCCAGCCTGGGCGACAGAGCGAGACTCTGTCTGGGAAAATAAAGATAAATAAATAAAAATAACTAACTAAATATAATAACAAACAAATAAAAATAAAGAAGAGCACTCTGGGTTTTGGGGTCTTCTTCAGGCAATAACTTCATGGCCCAGCCGGACCCCAACCGAGCAGATCAGGCGGCACCTCCTCCTCAGTGTCCTACAGTCGCTCACAGACCAAAGTTCCTTCTCTGGGAAGTTGTCTGCAAATTGGCCATAAAACCCTGTTCCCTGATACCTTCTTGTTTCCTTCCTAGAGGTTGAATATTCATGCTATTTTATGAAAACTTCAAAAGACTGAGGCCCAAGCCTTGTCATTTTCTGACCTTAGTTTCTTGTTCAAAACAATTGTGTTGGTAACAAGGCACTTTGGACAGGCAGGGCTGTGGCATGTGGAATCCACAGTGCACAAGACCGGGACACCCTCTTGAGGTCCTCCATGTTTTCTAGGCTTGATAAGACTTGGTTAGGCTCAGTCTGGGCACAGTGGCTCACACTTGTAATCCCAGCACTTCGGGAGGACGAGGCAGGTGGATCACTTAAGGTCGGAAGTTCAAGGCCAGCCTGGCCAACATGGTAAAACTCTGTCTCTACCAAAAAGTACAAAAATGAGCCAGGCATGGTGGCTCCTGCCTGTAGTCTCAGGTACTCGAGAGGTTGAGGTGGGAGAATTGCTGGAACTCAGGAGGCAGAGATTGCAGTGAGTCAAGATCGCACCACTGCACTGCAGCCTGGGCAACAGAGTAAGACCCTGTCTTAAAAAAAAAAAAAAAAAAAGACGGGGTAGGCTTAGAGCTTGGCCATGGCCCTTAATTCACCTTGGCTCGGAAGCCCTCCTGGGAAATAAGATTAAGCTAGCCTGATAGTGGAGGTTGAGAGGCCTGGGCTCAGCATCTGGGCTGACAACTAGGAAGGAATAGTGGCTAGAGAAAGTCTGAGGCTATACTTGGGCCCCTCCTTGGCCCCTCCCTCAGTCTGTGTGTCACAGAAGGATCATGCCCTGTAGGGATGGTAGACAGATTCATCCCTAGAAGCTGTGGGGACGCTCCAACCCCCAGCCACCACCACCCGAGAATCCCCAAAACAAGTGGGAGAATCTCCTTACAGGCTGGTGAGAGATGAGTAGTGGAGGAGGCAGTGAGGGTTTTTTTGTTTTGTGTGTGTGTGTGTGTGTGTGTGTGTGTGTGTGTGTGTGTGTGTGTGTGTTTGAGATGGAATCTCGATGTGTTGCTCAGGCTGGAATGCAGTGGCGGAATCTCTGCTCACTGCAACCTCTGCCTCCTGAGTTCAAGGAGTAGCTGGGACTACAGGTGCCTGCCACCAAACCCGGCTAATTTTTTGTATTTTTTTTTTTTTGAGACACAGTCTTGCTCTGTCACCCAGGCTAGAGTGCAGTGGTGCGATCTCAGCTCACTGCAACCTCTGCCTGCTGAGTTCAAGCGATTCTCCTGCGTCAGCCTCCTGAGTAGCTGGGACTACAGGTGCGTGCCACCACACCTGGCTAATTTTATGTATTATTTTTAGTAGAGATGAAGTTTCACCATGTTAGCCAGGATGGTCTCAATCTCCTGACCTCATGATCTGCCCACCTCGGCCTCCCAAAGTGCTGAGATTACAGGCATGAGCCACTGCACCAGGCCTGGCAGTGAGGATTTTAATGGAACAGTAGGTGAGAGAGCACAGAGGCTCAGGGAAACTGAGGATGTCCTTGAAACCATGTGTTGGGAGGTGCTGTGACATAGTTCTCCATCCCCACCCTGGGAGAAAGAAGACTAAGGTTGATCCTGCAGACTACCCTATGGGGCCCAAGGGACAGGTGGATTTGCATGAGAGCACCCAGAGTCTCTTGGGATGACTACTATTAGAGAACCCTTGGGAAAGGCTGGAATTCCGGCCAGCGCTGAGCAAGCAGGGGACACATAAGTTATACTCTACTGTGGAAGCCTCACACTCCGTCAATGCAAGAATCTTCTTTAGGAAACAACCACACCAAAAAAGCCAGACCACTTTAGTACCTGGCCCAGGGTTGATGCTCAAAGAATATTTGTCAAATGAATAATAACTCTTAATTTATTAGCCTGTAAGTTTGGAATTACCATCTCATACTCTTGGCATCAAAAACGATCCTGTTCCCCAGAAACCCTGGCCCTGTTCACCTCTGTCAAGTCTGTACAAGAGTTCACATCAAGCCCAGCACCCACCTTCCTGGGTTCCTGGGCTCTCTGCCCTGACCTCTCACAGAGGTTGGGCCAGGGTAAAGAGAAGAGGGGGCCTTGCCCAGTGCCTGGCTGTGGAGGGTGGAGATAGTTGAGGGGACAGCTGCCTTCCCAACTGCCAGCCCCACTTTGCAGTTCCCAAGTTCTGTCTCAGGAAGCCCTCTTCCTTGGGAGCTTTCCTGGATTTCTCCTACCTCTAACCCTGCCAAATTCCCTCCTCCAGCATAGACATGAATTCAAACATTTTTCATCTGCTGTGTCATTTAAGTTCTTCTTTAATGTTCTCAATCATCCACACCCCAAAAGCCCCTGTAACTGGGTGGATCACCACTCTGGAGGGGCCCCCTGTCCAATGGGAGAGACACAGCTTCACACAGTTTGAAGGGGTGGCAGACCCCTGCCCCTAGCTCCAGCCTACAGAGGAGGCTCGTCAGATGCAAAAAATGCTCCAAGACCCGAGGAAGGAGTCCTGAGGGCAGATCATGAGCACCAGGCCCGTGCTGGGCAGGTGGGGTAACTGGTGGGGTAAGACCCCTCCTCCCAGATTGGGTTCCCGGGTTCCCAGCCCGGAGGGGTGTCACCCCAGCGGCGGTCCCAAGGTAAGGGCCTGGGTGAGCTGGTGGCTTCTCGTCCCCCTGTCTCCGTGGCCAGGTGGAGTCGGTGGAAGCCAAGGGCTCGCAGGCGGGTGGCAGCTGTGGGGGAAGGCGGCGGGCCCGTGGGGCGGCGTAGGCGGCTGCAGGTCAGGAGCAGGTCAAACAGCAGCAGCTTGAAGAGCAGCAGCCGCAGCGCCCCCAGCCGCAGCGCTCGGCCAGGCATCCCTGCGAGGAAGAGCTGCTCAGGAGTTCGGAGGATCCCGCCACCCCACCCCAGGAGAGAACGTCCACGGAGGAGAGGGCCTTGTCCCCTGCCCTTGCCTGTCCTCTTCACGCCCTCCTCCAGGGCAAGTCCTTCCCGGTGTCTAACCTCCGTTCTTACTGGTAATAATAAATACCTTCCTAGCCTTCATTTTATTTTATTCCCCAACAATCATGGAGGTGGGAGTGGGGGCCAGGCAGGAATTAGCATCTGATGCAGAGAGTAACTAGATCAAATTCTTTCTTTCTTTCTTTTTTTTCGAGATGGAGTCTCACTCTGTCACCCAGCTGGAGTGCAGTGGCACGATCTCAGCTCACTGGGCTCACCGCAACCTCCGCGTCTCGGGTTCAAGTGATTTTCCTATACCTCAGCCTCCCAAGTAGCTGGGACTACAGGCGCGCCACCACGCCCAGCTAATTTTTCTATTTTTAGTAGAGATGGGGTTTCCCCATGTTGGCCCAGCTGGTCTCGATCTCTTGACCTCGTGATCCACTTGCCTTGGGTGCTGGGATTACAGGCATGAGCCGCTGTGCCCGGCCTCAGATTTCTCTATTTGGTCATGGAGCAGAGTTGGACCACAGCCCAACTTCATGACTGCCCGTCCAGTGCTCCTTCCATCACCCCAGACAGCCTCCCATTTACACAGCTGAGATCCCCTGCCTGGGCTGCCCAAGGAGAATTCCAAAGACTCCTCTGTTGGCTGTCACCTGTGCTTCTCAACCAATGTCCAGGAATTAGGCTGGGGTCAGATGATTTACCCCTATCATTTTTTTTTCTTCTTCTTCTTTTTTTTTTTTTAAAAGATGGGGGGTTTCATCATGTTGGCCAGGCTGGCCTTGAACTCCTGACCTCAAGTGATCCACCCACCTCGGCCTCCCAAAGTGCTGTGATTACAGGCATGAGCCACCACGCCCAGCCGATTTACCTCTATCTTATCCTCTCGTAGACTGATGCCCAGCCAGCCAGTGCCCCAACCTAGCATGACAGCCTCTACATGGGATACCCACTGACCCCCAGTGTAGGACCCGTTAGGCCAGAGCTGAATCCCCCAACCCCCAGGCCCAAAGTCCTGGTCCCAGCCTCTTATTCTCCACCCTTGCCCCAAGTACTCACCCCTGAGAGGCTCCTGGGGGCAGGTCCTGGCTGTGGAAGCCTCTCCTGTTGGCCAAGGAGAAGGGAGTGAGTCTTTGGGGATGGGCCATGCACTCTGGAGGGCATCCCCAGTGGTACGCCCAGGCCCTGGCACAGGGTGGCTGTCAAGGCATTCGAGGTAAATGGACAAGTGAGCCAGCAGCGAACTGAGCCCGTTTGCTGCGTCTTCTGAGGACCCAAACACCCCTCATTTTGCACTGTCCCCTGTTCCAGGCCCTGGTGAGGCTGGGGTGCCTGGCACTCTCAGATAAGGAACTGAACATCTTCACAGCATTCTTTGGAAGTTGGGGCACTTAGTCAACAAACATCCTCATTTGGAAGATGACAAAACTGAGATAATCCCCAGAGAGGAAGTAAGTCATCTGGTCAGTGACAGTAACAGCTGACTGCGGCCGGGCACAGCGGCTCACGCCTGTAATCCCAGCACTTTGGGAAGCCAAGGCGGGTGGATCATGAGGTCAGGAGTTTGAGATAATCCTGGCCAAACATAGTGAAACCCTGTCTTTACTAAAAAATACAAAAAAATGCCGGGCGCGGTGGCTCACGCCTGTAATCCCAGCACTTTGGGAGGCCGAGGCGGGTGGATCATGAGGTCAAGAGATCGAGACCATCCTGGTCAAAATGGTGAAACCCCGTCTCTACTAAAACTACAAAAAATTAGCTGGGCATGGTGGCGCGTGCCTGTAATCCCAGCTACTCAGGAGGTTGAGGCAGGAGAATTGCCTGAACCCAGGAGGCGGAGGTTGCGGTGAGCCGAGATTGCGCCATTGCACTCCAGCCTGGGTAACAAGAGCGAAACTCCGACTCAAAAAAA